GTGGAGTCATGCTCTGTTGTTTGATAAAATTGTACTCTGTAGTTTCACTCTTTGTGGTGGAGTCATGCTCTGTTGTTTGATAAAATTGTACTTGGTAGTTTCACTCTTGTCGGTGGAGTCGTGCTCTGTTGTTTGATAAAATTGTATTCCGTAGTTTCACTCTTGTCAGTGGAGTCGTACTCTGTTGTTTGATAAAATTGTACTCTGTAGTTTCACTCTTGTTGGTGGAGTCGTACTCTGTTGTTTGATAAAATTGTACTTCGTAGTTTCACTCTTGTCGGTGGAGTCATGCTCTGTTGTTTGATAAAATTGTACTTCGTAGTTTCACTCTTTGTGGTGGAGTTGTGCTCTGTTTGATAAAATTGTACTTTGTAGTTTCACTCTTTATGGTGGAGTCGTGCTCTGTTGTTTGATAAAATTGTACTCTGTAGTTTCACTCTTGTCGGTGGAGTCGTGCTCTGTTGTTTGATAAAATTGTACTCTGTAGTTTCACTCTTGTTGGTGGAGTCGTACTCTGTTGTTTGATAAAATTGTACTTGGTAGTTTCACTCTTGTCGGTGGAGTCATGTTCTGTTGTTTGATAAAATTGTACTCTGTGGTTTCAAGAAAAATAAATTATGTAATTATAGCATAATTATCATTATAAAACATAAGGAAGCAACTTTTAACATTAATCAAAAAGAAACACACATAGAGAAGTAACTTTTAACATTAATCATAAAGAAACACACATAGGGAAGTAACTTCTAACATTAATCATAAAGAAACACACATAGGGAAGTAAATTCAAACATTAATCATAAAGTAACACACATAGGGAAGTAACTTCTAACATTAATCATAAAGAAACACACATAGGGAAGTAACTTCTAACATTAATCATAAAGAAACACACATAGGGAAGTAACTTCTAACAATCATAAAGAAACACACACATAGAGAAGTAACTTTGTATAACAATGTCAGCAAACAAGATCTAATTGGTAGAAAATAATGTGGATGAAGTTCACCACTTCTAATATTTGCATTTTTTTGGGATAAAACTCAAAAACTTATATTTAAATAAATCTAAGACAATTCTATCAAGAGGATATTATAGGTTACAATGTTTAATATAAACTTTAATATTATGATGATTATTTTATTATTTTTAATGTTTACACTTTTAAAGATTATTGTTAGCAATGGTTAAATTTGGATTTTAAAAGTGGTGTAAAATCTCTTGTGTGATAACTAAATATCAAAGGCTTGAATCCTCAAAAGGCAGAATGATAGTTCTGAACAATTATGCCCAAATTTAACTGTTGATTTTCAGTTTATTATGTGGATTTAGGCCTAACTTAAATCTTCTTAGCTGACCAAACCTTGTGAGATATTACTGGGGTAATAGCTGAAAATACAATAAACAATGATAGAACCATAGTTTATTTGCTTTTTAGAATTGGTTTCATTAACTTGTTAGTTAATTTTTTTTCTATATCTACCTAATGTTGATCTAAAGTTTTAGTTACAAAAACAAAAAAACAATGATAAATACATTCCTATTACAATATTATGACATGTCACTGGAGAATAAAAGTTTGTTAGTGATCAAAAAAACATTAAAACTTTACCTTCACACCAGCAATAGCCCGACTTTTGTATTTTATCTTTGATTAATTACTAATGCAAACAAATATATTTTCTTATAAAAAAACAACAACATTTTAATAAATTTAAAATCAAACCATATTCACATAGAATTACCTTGGACTTTAAAGCTGTAGGAACCCAAAGTTTCACGTATTCTAGGACATCGTGAAGTAACAGTTTTTTAGACCTAGACAGAATAATGCTCAATGTTTCTGGGTGATACTGACTGAAGAGGATGCTCTTGGTGACACTTGTTAAAAATTGCACAATTGCTGAAAAGAGGAAAACGTTTAATAGTTTCTCACCTACAACTTCTGATAGTAAAACAAGTCACTGAATCGTCTAAAATGATAACAAAGTAACATCACGAAGATACACAAACTTTAGTGATTCAGGTTTTAAGGGGTAAAAAAGGGCTATGACAAAAAGCTACTAATTATTCTCAAAAATCCATGTTTCAAAATCGCCAATAATTTACTGTTACAATATCAACTAGACAACGTTTTGTAACCGTTACTGTTACTTATTTTTAGATTTCTCTGTAAATAACACCATTCACTGCTAATTCATTAAGACTTACTTTCATCTACTTCATCCTGCTCTTCTAAAACACTCAAAGATGCAGGAACTAAGACACTAAAAGGCAGACTAAAAAGAATATTTAATACGAATTAGTGTATACGCTTCTCATAATTATCTAACACGAAACTTGTGCATATTTTGTTCATTAAATAATGACAGATGTTTGGAAGAGATGTCAGAAGACTGAATTATTTAAAAAAATGGGTTTATGGATTGAAAAAAAAATATTTAATGTTTACAAAAAAAAAGGTCACAACTGTAATATTATATTTTACAATTATGTTTACAGTTAGAAAAATAAGTTATTTAAGTGTTTGTTTTTGTCATTTTAGAAATACAACTTCTTCAGTAGGTTAAATTAAACTCAAAAACAACTTTGATAATATATATTATACTTTGTAGTTTCATCTCTTTACAGCTCTGACAATATTTTTATGATAAACAAAATCTGTTAAATATTTGACGCTTATAAATCCAACTTGTAAATGGGTTTGTAAGACCATAAAGAGAATATGAACTCGATGAATTAAAAATTTCAATAACTAATCTGTCTAATTCAAATACAGAGCACAAAAACAAAATTATCAATTTTTAATTAGCATTTAATTTTATAATTATGGAAGTTGTGTAACATCTGTTCTCCTGACAACAAGGTTTCTTTATGGTTATTATAATGTTAAATTTATCTGTGTTATAGTTAAAATGATAAATATTTATGTCATGTGTGTGTGTAGTTGTATCTGATTACTACTGTGAAGTATCATTTAAGCCATTATATATTATAATTTTTAATGTTTTAGCTCTCATTACAGAAAAAGAAGATGAATAAATCAAAGCCAAAGTTAGAGGGGATGATCCCCTGTGCCAAAGATTTTTTGGAAGATATATTTTTCAGATTCCAAGAAAAGAAGGACAATCTATCGAAGAAGATTTCAAAGATGTTACAGAAAATGTACAAACTGCTCTCCTCTTCGTCCACAAATGACAAGACCAACTTAGTGAAGCAACTGTTATTTTATCTTCACACTACTCTGAGTAGAAACCGAGTAAGTTTGAATACTGTGAATAAATTTTAAAATGTCGTAAGTTCTCCTGTATTAGGTCTAAATTTTGTAAAATATTTGATTAGAGATGAGAATTATATTACATTTTATAAACAGCAGGACAAGAAAACATATTAATATTCAGTGTTTATCATTAGAAATTGTTTGCTTCTTCAGGATTTTTATTTGTAAATAAAGCTCAAAAAGAGAACAAGATGAAGATTACTCCTTGAAAAATCTCAAGTTTTGTTTAACCTTCATAATCACTTTATAGTGATAACTTATATAAGTGATTTTTAATTAATAATAATGTATTTTTGTACTAGTTAATAATAGTATATTTTGTAATAATTAATAATAGTGTATTTTTGTACTAATTAATAATAGTGTA